AACGCCATCAAGCTCGCACTGTGCAAAAGGGCCGATTTGTTCAAATGCACCCCAATGTTACCTATCATCTATAATGTACTGTTTGGCGAACAAGTTGGGTTGCTGTGTAGAGCCTAGCATACGGCAACATTTTATTCCAATCCAAAGTACTATTTATTCAGAAGATCTATGTCAAGACTAACTTATCATTGTAATATAATATTGATCAGAAGCCGAGGAAAAAAATAACTACAGTGGAACTCGGATTCAACGAGATGAGATAGATTCCCCGGTGTGTTTTTTTTTCTTCTTTAAAATCAATTTTAAAAATAACCAGGATTCAACAAGCACTTAAATCAGCGAGTTCGGATTCAACGAGGTCACATCCAGGGTGAACAGCCCCTGCAGATGTGGCTTCGCTCATTTTTCTCCCAGAACGAACTTTATCTATTCCTGGAAACCATCCATTGCACCTGCATCGTGAGTCATTATTCACTTAGCGGATTGCATGCGACCAATCAGCGGCCTTTTTTCATACTAACACATGCGTTGTTGGCATGCGCACGTGTCTACTCTGGCGTATGTCGGGGTCGGATGGGCGGCCTGCACACGTGTGGCTGTGTGTGCGTGTCGGGGAGGGGGAACCACCAGCGGTCCGGCCTTTGAACGTCGCAGATACAAATGCGTCACAGTCTTTTTTCCCCCTCGGCAACAGATCATTACAGTGGAGTCCACTTGTAACGAGTCCTGAAACAACGAGAAGTCTGCTATAAAGACACTATTCTAAAACCCCGTTTTTTCCCCCTTCTTTATCTTTGTAAATAAAATACTGCTATTGCGCAATCAGACAGTCACGCGAGTCGGTTATAGTGGATTAATGCTGCTGCTGTGCACAGCACACAGACCAATTAAACATATATAAAACCTCGCCAGTTGAGAAAGTTGTTGGTGATCCAGCGAAACAAAGAACGGGGGAGCCCACGCGAACCAACAATGAAGGCCGGAGCGAATGAGTGGGGAGGGTGTGGCATTCGCAGACAAGCAGAACGCTTCGCGTGATAGGCCAGCCCAGTCTAGATTATCTAAGCCTACCGTGCCTCTCACTTCTCTGGTGCGGGATGGAGAGGTCACAATGCTGTGATAGATGGAGTGAATGTGTGACGTGCGCAAGCAGACGCAACGCACCACAGGGTGTGGTGGGGTGGGGAACAACACAGCGGGCAAGTTAACCTAGAGCCAGAGCCCCTTCTTTCTGATCGCCAAAGCCGATTTGTCTGTCCTCAGAGAAATTCGCGCCAGCAACCCGCAAGTTGCGCGCGCAACTTTTGCGCAACTTTTACGATTTTCGTGAATTCGCTAATTTTAGCCAATTTCCCGCAAAATGCGGAAAAATAATAATAACATTTCATTAAAAAGACCGTAATTTTCTTCCACGACTAAAAATAACGTCGCCAAGGGGGGCAATTCGCTTCTTTACACTTTGCAGTAGCCTACGGGTGCCCGCCGCCGCCCAGTGACCCGGGCCGGGTCAGGTCGGGTCGGGATGATCGCCCGACTCGTCGCCTGAAAACAACGTGTTTTTTTTAAAAACAACGAGTCGGGCGCGATCAACTTGAGCCACGATAGCTGCTTTGCACCATCAATCTAGCGAGCAGATCGACCCTATAGTCTTGTTTGGACTAGTCTAGCTAGAGTAAATCAATCGTAAACACGGCCGTCTGATTACTTAGCTAGCTTTGTTCCGTAGCACCAGGGTAGATCTAGATCTAGTATAAAAATTTGTGAAAGACTTTAAATCTTAGGCTAAGGAGGGTAGATCTAAAATGGATCGATTCATCCAGAAAACCCCTAAAGGGGAGGGGACGTTCGCATATCATCTTACGCCAGGAAAAAAAAAGGGGGGGGGGGGGGGTAACCAATGTAAGATTACACCTTTGTAAGGTGAAAAAAATAATCAAGGAAAATGGCAACGTAACTTTTTTGTTAATAGCATAAAAAGAGAGTAATTCTACACTATTCACTTAGACTTAGAGTTAAGTTCGAGCGGTAAGCACTGCATTGTGGCGATACAGTGGACCTCGAGCGGCAAGCACGATATATGTCATCTCGCACTTTATACACTGGTAGTGGTAGGTATCTGGGCTACATGACATGTAGATGTAGTCTAATTTTGATTACACCGGTGCGGTTAAAGTGGTAAAATGACACCGTAAGTTTTTCTGGAAAAGTTCCGATATTTTTATAGCTCATTGAATTATTATGTCACATGTAGATCTATGTGTATGCATGTTTTTCATGAATACCGTAATTAATAAATTAAAAAGCGCATAGAAGAGTGATTGTACCACGGATTTGTGCAATATAAATGTCATATTATTATAATTATAAGCGAATAACGTAATATACGGGATTGAGGGGTCGCAGGAAGGTGTAAAAAAGTGTAAGGGCGGGAGGGGCAAAAAGTCACAAACCTGCCCAACATCAGCGAGAGTTTAAGGACCTGACGCATGTGTCAGGGGACAAACTGTTTTTGTACTCCAAGCATTTTTTTTTTTTTTTGGTAGACATTCACATTTAACTTTTGATTTTGATCTAACAAAACTCATATTGGTTACTTTTTATTGCAATGAGCACAGCAACAATACAATGTATTCCAATAGTTCTGTGGCATCGTTTTAGCTATACGAACGCCTTGCAACTTTTCTTGCAACTTTTGCTTCTTTTTCTTGCAACTTTTGCTATTTACAAATGCAACTTTCTGTGAGGACAGATTTGTCAACATTGCTAGTTCTAGAGAAAGAAATCTGATTCGATTTTTGATCAAGTAAGACCTAGAGATCATGTTGAACAAAATCATCATCAGGGGAAATACAAAAAGGAATAAACAGAACACCAAAATCATAGATTAGGCCTACTTTATTATTCCCCTTGAATTTATTACTGGATCCCTAATAACGAGAATCCTGCTACAACGGACATTTCGCACCGGTCCCCTCCCTCTCGTTATAACAGGATTCCACTGTAATACAATAAGCTAGTCTTGACGTAGATCTACGCAATGAATTGTGTGCTGGTCTATGGAATCAAAAGTTGTTGTATGCTAGGCTCTACACAGCAACACAACTTTTTGGCAGGCAATCGAGATGACCCAGGCGTGTGCATTAGAAGGAATCGGTCTTTTTTTTTTGTACACAGCTCATAATATGCAGGGATTCCAGGCACTACTTGTGACTTCTCTTTATATATACTAGTAAAAGTACCCGTTCTACGAACGGAATAATAATGAAGAAGTGATAGGAAAGTTAAAAAGAGGGAAAAGACTGAAAACAGGAAAGAAACAAAACATAAATATTTTACCTTGAATTTATCCCTGTAGCACCCCCTCTTGACTACCTCTAGGGGTAAGACTTCTTTTCCCTCTTCGAAGGCGTGGCATTTTCTCCTAAAGTTTCAGCTAAATCACTTTTTTTAAAAAGAGTTAGGCCTACATGATTTATATATTGATCTGGATTAGATATTAGATCTAGATCTAGACATAGATCTACACACGAACACACTGAACACAAAATATCTTTCGGCGCAGTTCGGCGTGCGCGCTAAATCCACTGCAGGAGAAATCTACTTTCAATACTTTCATGATTTTTTATCTTGATCTAGATATAGATATTAGATCTAGACGTACACACACATGCGACTACACACAGGGCGTAAACTGGGCTACGATTGGCTGAACCTTTGACTTTGACCAATTAATACATTAAGTAGGCCTACGATAGGCTACTCTTGGCGCTTTCGACGACACCCTCCTTCTCTCTCCCAAGGCAGGGTAGCAAACGAAAAAGGCCCGACTTTGTAACATGTATTACTACTTGATTCTTTTTCTCCTTTTTTTTTCTTGTCCCCCCACCCCCTCCTCCTTCTCTAATTCCTCGGGCCCCTTTTTCTTCTTCTTCTCCTCCCTCCCTCCTCCTCCACCTTCTTCTACTCCTCCTCCTCATTCTTCTTCTTCTTCTCCTCCTCCTCCTCCTCATTCTTCTTCTTCTCCACACCCGCTGTGAGAAGACGGCCGAAAGCATGAGACTGAAACCGGGAATTCCCGTAAACCGACTAAATGTTTTACTGAACACAAAATATCATTTACGCAGTCAGCACTCCGCAGTGAACATACAATATCGAAGCAAATGATGGCGATCGCTACAAAAGGACTGAATTTAACTGAAATTGCTTTCTTCTTACACATTTGATCTTAATGAAAATACAATAGTGCAACACTACGTTTCAAGTTACGGTTACTGGCAAAGTTTCATATTTTTTCATTCAGCAGTTTCTGAGAATATACTGTTTGCAAAATTTGGCCTTAGCTCCATTAGTATATAATATACATTACTTGCAAAGTGCCTGTAATTATCTACACAAAACCTCACATTTCCTATAACAAAGAACAATCCGATTCAACGAGATTTTAGGCCAGTTCCGGCGACCTCGTTGAATCCGAGTTCCACTGTATGACGTGTTTGTATAAATTCTCTACTGACATTCCACATCCGGACCGCTTGTGCTCATCCCCACAGACACACAATCACACTACGTCACACGTTCTGGCAGCCCATCCGACCCAGACACACGCCAAGACATATGTCTGCGTGCTAACAACACTTGTGTTGGTATGAAAGATGGCCAGTGATTGGTCGCATAAGATATACACAATAGGGTAAGCGAATAATGGTTCATGATGCAGTACAAATGTACCATAGATGGTTCCAAGAATAATTCTTTGCGGGAGAAAAATGAGCAAAGCCACGCTGTTGGATCCTAGTTCCACTGTACCCCTCTTATAGGATTATTAAACTTTAAGTGCCAGGAAAGGACCAGGCCACGTGGGTGAGATGTTCAAGAAAACTTCAACAAAGGTCGAGCATGCCACCAACAGAGTTATCATCAGGCAGGCATTTTGAGATGCACTAAGAAAATTATTAATGTCTTAGTTAAATTTAAAAAAAAATCGAAATCAAAGAAACTTGTAAAACTACATCAATGCTTTTTATTCAGCCTCCAACAAATTTATATTATAATAAATTTTCAGCACAATATCCAATGGAAACAATAACTGGTTGAATCTCAAGATGGGGCAGACCACCTTGCAGTCACTTCATGAGTTCAAATACATCTTCACAGAAACATCTCTGTCTAGTCCTCCATTTTCCCATCATCCATACAAAATCAAAGTATCAAGAAATCATGAACAATATTATTGATTGCAGTTTCAAGAAATTAATGAAACAATGAGAGAAAAAATATGCTGAAAGAAAAAGTTTTGGTCAAACGACAGAAAATTCAAAGTAGTGATTATTTTCTTCATTGATTACAACCGGCTATTTCGTTTATGTTTGTTTCAGTAGAAAAGTGAGTTTACAATGTTCTTGAAGAAAGCTACATTTTCCTGTTTTTCCGTTTTGAGTGAAAGCATCTTTCAACTTTAAAAACAAAATTCCTCAAAAAGTATGATTTAGATTGAGTGACTAGTGTAAAAGTAGTTGTTCTCTAAAGTATTCAAGCTAGAGCTTTCAAATTTTCAGTGGATGAAGATAAGCTGTTATTGTACGTGTAGGTAATAGGCTATTTTATTTTTATCAAAATATATAAGTTAATGTTGAATTTTGATTTACAGTGCCTTGTGCATGTAAAAATATGATAATACCTGTACACATAAATTTTGAAAATCATTCTCAGTGATACCGGGTACTCGAAATTTCATTGCAAAATAGCTAAAAATGAGCAAGTTTGAAATTCTAGGAGCTCTTCCCTTAAGTCGAATGCTTCCACAATTCACAATTATTGCTGTTAGGTATCTTCCCATCTAAAAAGATTCCTGAATTTACTTGGAAGCACTTTCCAACTCTAATCAAATGATCATCTGCAAAGCATGGCAAAACAGTAGGGGGGGGAGAAAAAAACGGATTAGGACATCCGATTTTTGTTGAAGTCTTGAAAAGCACAGACCATCAATTTCAGAGCATTTTAAATTCAATACACAGAAGTTAAGACTTAACTGACTATACATTGCAAGCACTTCTATGACTACTACTTTTATGTATAAAAGAAAGAACCACAAAATAAAAATATTAACAACAGACTGGAAAGTGTACACAGACAAAGGCCGACCATGTAATTTTGAAATAGCCTCTCTTGGTCCCTCAGCAAGGGAGGCAGCAGAACTGTCGTAATATTCCACTAATAATTTCTGAAATTTGCATTTTACTCAGACCAGAACCCTGAATTTCTGCAATGTTGCAAGTTGGTCAAATTATTAAACTGAAGGTGCAGCAGTAGCAGTAGTAATGCACCATGTCAGAATAATCTTAATAAATTACTCTAAAGTTTTTGGGTCAACAAATCCGTATACATGTATATAAGAGGACATAAGCACATGTACAGTCAAACTCGGATAAAACAGGACAGACGGGACCAGCATTTTTTCCTTATAAGCGAGTCCTGCTTTTATCGTTATCAAGGGAAACTACCAGTACCATTGCATCTTCAGCATACAATATTATATTCGATTACCGCAGATCCTTTTCCAGTGGGCTGTTTTGCTGACATTGAGATGGAATCGATCAGTGGCCCTAACACTATTGGGGGAGGGGGGATATGTGTTTGAAAGTTTGTGTTTTCAAGCAAGCAATCATACAAACAGGCGAAATGTCTTGGTAGAGCCACAGGGGGAGGACAACATGAGAATTAAGGAACGGCATCATTAAAAATTTAAACAAATACAACCGCATCTCAATTCAAGTCTGTAGTCATTACTCCCATCTCTTACATGAACAAAATGACCCACAAATAGGCCTGAGATTTTAAAAAACCCAACTGAATCACGGTCAATACCTAGTGTCTAATAAGATACACAATACAGTAAGGCATCCTTAAACCAAAACCTAGCAACCAAAATCTTTTTAAAAATTAAATATTAAAACAAGAGTAGGCTATTATCTAGCAATGTGACAGAACTGTTCATTTGCCAAGTACTTATACTTATGTCCTTGTGTGTACTCTGCCAACACTAATACTGCACAAGGGGAAATTATCCCAAACCACTTGGCCATCAGTTTAAAGAAGAAACATTTTTTCATGACTGCAACTCAGCTTTGGTCAAAACACCACAAGAAACAGGCATAAAAATAGTGTCTATAGATCTCCAACAAAGCTACAGTACTCAACGGCAATACAATCTGAGACTTAAACTGTGAGTACTCCAGTCAGTATCATTAAAACACTGGTAGCTGTAGAGAAAAGGTTAAATGACAAATAAACCAAACATTAAAGGAAACAAACCTAAACATGGACAGATATTCTAATAATTAAGTTCAATGGCTGCCTGAGCGTGAGATTCAACAATCAGATTTGCCGGGCAGATCTGAACTGTCGCCGAGCAAACACACAGTTCTGCGGGAACTGCTAGGCAACAGAGTGAGACAAACCAACATCTTTGACATGTCGTCAACCAGAGCCACAGAATTGTGGGACTGCAGGGCAATATGAAGGGACAAACCAATAATGCAAAATGATCAATGCTGTCATTTCTCTGTGGCAAAAGTTACTCGTCATCTCCATCTTCCTCATCATCATCTGAAATTGAGAAAGTGCAAAAGTTTGAGAACACAGCTGGGATATTAAGAACCAGTACAATTGAAACGGAAATAAGATGGCCACCCATTGTCAAGGAGAAAAAAGTCTGTCTAAACTGTCTTACAGTGTAATTATGATTTAAAATTTAAAAAAAAAAACCCACAAGGGAGGAAATGGAAGTTGCCATTTGTATAGTTAGTGCATGGTATATTTGCGATTAAAGAAAGTGGGGGTCGCCTGGTTTCAGAGGTAAAATTTGTGAGAAAATGACCGCCCAAGATGGGTTATCTTAGCTTGAGAGTCTACAGAAACTGAAAATTTACATCTTTTATTCCTTTAATCAACGTTTTCAGTAAAAATCCACACTTTAACCTCTACACCATGAGAGCCCCCTTAATCACTTAATACACACATAAATACATAATTATAAATACGTACTTAGGTAAATACATACATGCATAAATACATACTATTACTATTACACAAATACAGAACAGTTTACAAACAATGCCACTGTCGGTCGCCACTGTGCAGCGCCCTGTAATTTGAGCTAGGGTTGTCGTGTCTTGCTCAAGGACACACTCCAGTGACCACCCATCTGATCCCCGTGTCACCGACACTTGCTTGACATTGCTTGAGTCAAAACTCACTATCAACTTAGCCACTGGAGCCCCCATTGTTCACTGGCGGCAAAACTAACATAACAATATGCATGTACCAGCCTAATGTACCTCTGTGAAAAACCTCTTAGCCACATCCTTTGTTCTCAAAGTGTTTGTGGTCTATTTGGTTGTGGCAGGGGGTTAGGCCTAGCCTATTGTATTGCTTGGCTGAAAATGTGAGAGTGAGTAAAGAGTGAGTCTCAGTTCAGTTGTATTGTTTGCAAGTTTATAAAAGCAGTCTGGGTTACTGCAGATTAGACTTTTGAGGGGAGAGCTGTAGCAAGGCAGAGGAGGCCAGCTGAGAGTATAGGTGGAGAAAAGGCTAGTTAGAGCCTCGGTTTATTTATGTGTAACGTGTGAGATTCCAACGCAACGGGGCCCCATCGCTGAGGAAAGGATCACCATCCGGAGAGAAACAGGTTTGGCTAACTCCTGTTGTAGGCGCAGGCAGACAGAAGGTTAGTAGTGTTAAACATTGTTTTATGTTCCAAGTAACAAAAATGTTCAATGTCCATTTTAAACAAACTTTACACCACTAAAATCTTTGAACATATCACACAGGTATGTTTTAGGCCTAGTTTTTTAAGAGAAACAAATATAACTGGGACGCTGGATTCAAAAAGAGAACATATTACCAAGTTACAGTCGAGAGTACATTGTACTGTTAAAATTATTCATTGTCTTGCAGTACACCATGCCCTTTGGCCTTGAGGGGAGGGGAAGCAACATCAACAAAGGACGAGTTTATTCCGTCATGACTTCATTGAGAAACTATGTAGATGACCAATTTATGCCCGTTGACCGGCTCTACATAGACCTAATTGTATTTTTATGTTAAGTATCGCCAGTGTCAAAACTTGTGAAACATCTCACAATGCACACACAATTTTTTAATCAATTACCCTTGCATACTTGCAGCTGGGGTTTGAATTTTTTAAAAAGCACTCAAACTCAAGTGTTTTTACAGTACTCATAATAACTGTTTGACTTTAGTTAAAAAAGTATTACCCCACTTGCAGCACAATAAGGTCATATAAAATGCCGAAGAATAGAGGTGTAACAAGAAAGTAACAAACAAAAAAGAAGGAGGAGAGATAAGGACGATAGACGTTTGATAGGAAAGAAGGAGCAAACCACACCAGAGCACCTGACAACCACCCACTATTTGACTTTAACAAATGTAACGAGTGGAAGATCAACAAGTGGAGTCGACTGTATTAGTATTATAATAACTTGTTCACGTTTGTCTGTCTGCATTTAAAAAAAAATCTAGCTCATTTATAAATCTGCCAAAGCGAACGTAACTTCGTATGGCACTCCAGTAATTAAAAAATTTCTTTATTTAAACATCCTGTGGGTGCATACGCAGGACCACTATACTATAATCAGCCCCCCCCCCCCCCCCCCCCCCCAAGAAATCGCGGTCTTGCAAGGCCGCGTTTTTCATCGAGTTCCGCAAGTAGGTGTGTGTGTGTGTGTGTGCATGTGTGTGCGGGCGCGCGCGTGTGGATATTGTTCGTACATGATGCATCATGTGTCTAGATACACGGTACTCGGGCACCTAGATCTAGTCTCAGTATCTACGTACACGGTAACCGAAATGAAAATAAACCAATATTTGTCCTGTGCTGTCACTTGTTGAAAAAAAAAGAGTCATACATGTACAAGCGTCTTGTCGGGCTCGCTACCGTGACCGGTCAGTGAACCTGTGCTTTCGCATCACATTGTGAGTACCGGTTGGGGTCACCAAAGTTCATTCAAAGTCTGTGCGCTGCGAAGTATAGGACTCCGGAATGGGGGATTATTGATTTTTTAAAAAGGTACAGCCGGGAGAGGGCTGGGGTTGAAGGCAACTTCGGATGACAAAAACTGAACTTTGGAGTTCTGAACTGCCCGGTTACCGTGTACGTGACACTGAGACTACGTGCCCGGTTGCCGGTTACCGTGTACGTAGACACTCCCTTTCATAAAAATGTAAAACGCCTTAAGCTGCGTTCACACGGGAGTGGTCGCTATAGAAATTATCTACATTATTATTACTATTAAATGGGAAAAAAAAATTGCCTAATTTTACGATTTGACTTAGAGTTAAAACAATACCATACCGGTTTAAAAAAAGAAAATATCAGAAATAGATTTAAATACAGATTACCGGTGTATCGAGGGTTGCAAGAGAAAAATAGAATAGGATCTGAATTGATTGGGGCATAAGCTAATTTTGCATATAGCGGTTGTTCGAATCTCCCATCAATTTTTTTTGTTTTTTACAGAGACTAAACCTCACACTACACTTCTAGATCTTCGCATGAACCAAGTACCCGGTATGTACTAAATTTGGTCAAATTTTATGCCTTCATTTAAAAGTCATTACGAAAACCGAGGGTTCCGTTATTTGGTGTCATGCAGTATTATATTATATTTGGTCGATAACTTTATTGTTAACGTACTCGTGTGTTGTTACTAGTAATATGTTGTTAATAAAATTAGTGCTGTGGGTCATGATTTTTTAAAAGGCTGTTCTGCTTTTATGCTACGGGTACTCAAATTGTCATGTTTTTTAAACTAAAAATATTAAGCCCTTATCAATGCGCCTGGGATGGGAAGGGTTTTTTTTTTGCAATTTTTAGGCAGTTTACCTTGCAATTTTTCTATTTCAAAAATGCAATTTTCCGCGGGGCCAGTATAATAAACGATTTGCAATGACAAAACCTACATATTGCTTATTTTGAGACAGCGACACCACCCTGCCCCACATTTCAGTGTTAGCTTGTAAATTTCACCCGAGACTGTCTAGACGTCTCCACATGAGTCTCAAAAGTACTCACTTGTCTATTGGACCGTGTTTTATCTGCAAGTGTTAAAGTATTGTGTTGATGAAAATAGGTCAACTTTTTAATATTTTTGGTGTATACTGAAAATCTCATTACTTCTTTACCCCCTTGGGACTAACATCAATGGAAACGCGTTGAAACCTTAGTTCGCAGTGGCCTTCATTAATGGGGTTTTAGATTCTGTTGGTCATTCAACTTGTATGCAAAGATCTGAAAAGACTAAACACAGCTATTTATTTCTATCCAATTTAACAGCGGACAGAGGAAAGAGAACAAAATATATATAGAAACAAACAGAATTCATAATATTATTGTACACACCAGCTGATGGGTAGGCAAGTGGAGACAGGAAAGTAAGGTAGGAAGCGGCTCTGGCTGTATACATGTGCGCGTGTGCAAGGTGCATGGGCAGTGGGAACTGGGAGTGTGGGACAGACAGTGAATCAAAAGGCAAAAACCCAAGTAAGCTTTGGGGAGGGGAAACACGAATTGAAACCTCCTGCTGTGGGGTGTGCCCTGTGTGCCAGTTGTGTGACATGAAGCCAAATGGATGCCCAAGATTAGTAGTAAGAACAGACCGGTGCTAAAGAAAACAACCAGGAGAGTGAGTCAAACTAGCCTTTGCTCAAAGAAAGGGAACAAAACACAATTATATAGAACAATCAAGTATGCAAAAACAGCAGAGGAATTAAAATGTTTGGCAGGCTAAGGTTGTCATAGGTGGATATAAAACTTAATAAAATCATAAATAAAAAGAGAAGAAACCAGTGCTTCGAAAAGGGATCACCACATGGAACAAATATAGCCCAAAGGAAAAAAAAAAAACATAAAAAGGAGAGACATTCTAAAAAGAACACAATATGCCAGAATAGAAACAAGACTTTACATTACCTTCTTCATCACTTTCTCCATTGAGACCTGCAAAGACACACAAACACACATTTGCTTAGGAATATATCCCATATATGAGTACCAAGGGAATTAATACAAAATGACTAAAGACCTACCAATTATTTTCTCCAAAGAATACAGCACCCCCCAAAAACAAAAAAAAACAAAACAAAACAACCTCAGTGTGGGCATTTAACACTGGGGAGTATTTCCACAAAACAAAACTAACCAAAAACCACAGATTAAAGCTGAAGATGCAGTCTAAATCTGAGAGGACTGTTTAGTTGTAATGCCATTCGTACTTATTACAACAACTATGCTTAACTTGGTCATAAATAAATTGTAACCAGACACTTTGTTTGATGTACACATTCATAAACTAAACATATTTTTATATATAATGACAAGGTTGAACTTTTTTTTTCTTTTCAGTTTGACAAACGTGGTCACACAAACAAAACCCATACTTCCATAGTCAGACACTCAGAAACATTAACACTATTAAAGACATTCCAAAAAGTAGTAAAAATTTCAGATCTTTTAACTCCAACAAGCAACCCGGCAGCTGTCTAACAAACTCAATAGCCAGACCAGTCATAACAACTCTTACTTACCGTCATCTTCACTGTCTTCATCATTGACATCTACGACCGAATCATCAAGGTCCTCATCACTGTGAAAAAAGAACAAATATGTGAGTAGTGACAAAAGTGTCAGGTTGCCTGTCAAAATGAAGCTTTTTTTAAAGCAAGAGTTTTACAGCACTTGAGACTGTATAAGGTCATAAGAGCGCGTGAAACACAAGTTGATTGCATTCACAACAGTTCACAGCACGGCTTTGCTTAGGTCAAAGATCAGATGTAAAATGATAAGTTTGAGACCTTTTGCGGTGAGAAACCGAAAGACAGACCAGTTTTCCAAGGGGGTAGCCATCTTTGGAGAACTGCTGTGTTCGTTTGGTTTGTGCGATGCTCATGGTGCTCAATTCGAGAAAATCCTAAATGATTGTTTTACAAGTATGTGTTTACAGAATATGAAAATATTGAATAGATTTCAAATTACAACCTAATTCCGGTTTTCCGTGGGACAGCCCTCATACATTTATATATGATAATTTCTACACAACTACTTAACACAGACCTTTCCCATCTGAGGACACAATGAAGGAAGAAGAGATCTTATCCATTCTTGACATTGAAAATCCAGCACCTTGTAGTTTACAAAACACCCGACAATAAAGTGTTTACCACACCAAGAATATGGGTTAATTTAAGTGTACAAAACTCAATGTCCACATATCATTAGTTCGCCCTATTTTCTGGTTGTTTGTCAAGTTTCGTTCTAATTGGTCCTCAAATAGCGATGAAAATGTTTTACAAAGCAAGTCACCGACATTCCAATCCAGTCCAAAAATACACCTGCTAGCAGTCACGTACGCCAGCTCGATTGGCTTTGCCAGATCATAGGACCACCACATTTTGTAAAAACTGAAGTTTTATCTTCATGTATGGACTCTAAAGACATCAATGAACCAGAAAAGCACAAGTAGGCCTATTGGCAGTAGGAACTGAACTAAAGCAATCCCAAGTTTCAACAACAGCTGTACCTCTGGGCACTGGCCTCCAAGTCATCCAAGTCTGAGGCCAGATAATACTGCAAGGGATTGGGCCACATGTCATCTTTGATCACCTGCAAGATAATCATCAAGAAAAAAAAAAGGATAGTCAATAGTCTAAGTTAGTGGTGGGCATATCCAAATTGCAATATCGATATATTCACACATATCGGTATTGAGTATTGTAATGAAGAAGTGAGAAAAATATCGATATTTTGACATGCCTACCATTCAGCACCGTGAAAGAGACAGATAGTAGGGAGAGAGAAAGAGATGTATATCTTCTAGGAAAAATCGTTGATTTTATGTCTCCCCCCCCCCCATAATAAAACACACACACACACACAAATTTTTAAATCAATTTAAACAAACAACAAAAATATCATTTTAAAATAGACAGCCAGCCGTGTTTCATGCCTCCATCCACCAGACTCGATAATTATCTATATATTTGATGGCAAATTTTAATTTATTGATAATAATTTTGCAATACCCAAAAATATTGATATATCGATATTTCTGGTGAAAAAATACCGGTATCGTATCAAATGCGATATTGTTGATATCGCCCATTATTGGTCTAAGTGGCGTCTGTGCTGATGCAGTTAGGCACTTCGCTGTCATATGCAGAAGACAGGTATCTCTTTCTGCTGGGACGTAGTGCAAACTGGAAATACAGTCGAACCTGCCATGACGGCCACCTTTTGTCGATATAATTTAACTGTGTAAAACGGAAACCTCTCTAACACGGCCGCAGCCACCTTACTTTATCAACCTTCGGTCAAATTTACTTAGGTTTGGGTTTGGGGAAGGGCCAGGTAGGTCTCTTCTTTATTCATGTGTTTGTTGGGGTGGTCACTCACAGAAGTCCTTCCGCCGAAACACTTACACGTCTGAACCTCATATTTAAATCTTTTCAATTATTCATTCATTAAAATTTCCACCCTCCATTAGCTTTCCTCCGAGCCATTTACATTACAAAAATTACACATAATTAACATTACTTCAAATGTAATGGAACTAATCACTCAAAATTCAACCAAAAAATAAATAAAAAAGGAATTTGATAAGGGAGCCAAACCTCAGCGATTTCATCTGCATTTGGGTCGGTGTTGTTTAAAAACCATGCAAAGAAGCCTTGTGGAGAAGAGAGTGGTCTTTTGCGGCCATTTGCTTGTTGTTTAGCATTGTTGGTTAGATTTTTGCCCTCCTTCCATTCAATAAGAGTCGATTTGGACTCTGGCTCACCTGAAACCATAATGATACACGACTTTGTTAATGCAAACTCAAACAAAAAGATCCACAGACAACAAGGTAAAGTCAAACATCTTTGTAATTATGAAGACTGCAAGAAAAGATAAAATTTCTCATACACGCAAAAAATGAGAGATTGTTACATACTTGGCCAAACAAAGAAAACATGTTATAGCTTGTTCATTTTTGTCTGACAGCAGTCAAAACAAGATGAAATGAAATGAAATGGCTCTGTTTAATCTTCTTGGATCTTTGCATACGGGTCTAATGGTTGGATGACCAACAGAATTTAAAAGCAATTTATCAAAGTCACTGGAAACTAAGGTCCCGACACGTTTTCTTTGGATGTAAAAAAAATAATACAGATTTACAGCATACACCTAAAGCATTTGAAAGTTGACATATTTTCCTCAAGACCTTTAATGTTCGCCTAAGAAACATAATTCTAGAGACAGGGTGAGTAATTTTCAAGACTCATGTGGAGCACGTGGAGATGTCTAGACAGTCAATTGAGTCAAGGAATAAAATCAACAAACTCACACTGAAATGTGGGGGCAGGGTGGTTTCACTGTATCAAAATGAGCAATTTGTAAGCATGGCTACTGCAAGTCTTTTATTTTAGCGATCCAGTGTAAGCATCCAAAAAACAGTGATTTTTAATATAGGGCCCAAACAGAAAAACTTTTTTAATACTTAGTCAAGCCTTTTTGAAAAAATATTTTGGTTTGGTCGCTGGCCTGCAGAAGTGCCCTGCACAGTTTCGAGGACATAGGTAAATTCCTCAATGAGCTAAAAAATTTTTAACGCAGTTAAGCGAAAGTGAACAAGCTGTAAATCTCCAAACTTCATCTCCTGTGAATTTGTTGACATTGGGACCAACTGATCTAGCACAGTGTACAGAAACCGAGCAAAACATGACAAATGTCAAAATGTAACCACAATTACTTTACAAAGAACCCCATTACAAGAATATCCTTTCCCAGCTGAATACACCATGAAATAAATTAAGGACATGTAACTGAGCTATCTTCTCTATTACAGACTACAGTTTTCATTAGCTCTTATTCTACTCTCATTGTCTGCTGTTAGGGTCCAGGATTCACATAGAAATGTCACTAAGGAATGCATAAGCCTGCTCTTTGAGCTTATGGCGATTTTCATGCTTCTCCAGATATGTTTGACATTGGTTAGCGTGGTTTGAGCATGCTTAGGTCTGTGCTATTCTGGAGAATATTTTGGGCTTTGATCATTCGTTTGAAATGATTGACCCTAAGTATTTGAAGCTTGTGACACTAATGAGATTTTGATGTTTATGAAGTTGCTGCTGGTCATTACTTTTATTCTCTCTGCACTTATTTCCACACGAAGTTGACTAGTTTTTGTTCACTTTTGGAAACCCTATCTCTGTCATTAGCAAAACTAAGGTCTGAGATGTTTCTTCTTCCTAGGCAGCCTAGCCGCACTCCACGGTTATCTTGAAGCTTGGCTGTACAAATTTTCTATGATCTTTATCAGGTTTACATTAATGTTATATTGATTCATTGTCGCCCATAACGCTTTGTGCCAGACTGTTGAAAACTTGAAAGCCTTTTTAAAGTCATGAACACATGGTAAAGCTTTTGTTTATGTTGGGAGGTATTTTTCCATTATTATTCTGATGTTAAAAAATTTGCTGTGTTGTGCTGCGGCCAGGTCTGAAGTCTGCTTAGGATCATTTTGAACATAACTTTGCTGGGAAGACTGATTAAGCTTAAGGTACGGTAGTTTTGGCATTGCTGTAGGTTGCTTTTCTTTGGGAGTGTGATGACCAGCGACCAAGTCCAAAGTTTCGTCAGCTTTCCTGTCTGCCAGGTCTTGATGCTGATACAATAGAGCATGACTATAGCCAAGTCTCCTTCTGGCTTTTACTAGTTCTGCAATAATGTTACTGACTCCTTCCACTTTGCCAGATTTAAGGCTGCAACTGCTGTGACTACATCTCATAGGACGCCATCTTTGGCAGTGTCTGTTGATCACTGCATGTATTTGGATTAAAAAGTAAGACGAACTTTTCTTGGACATGGAGCAAAAAAAACTTTTATCAGCCACTGACCAATTGTGATCTTGAAAAGCAGGGTGATCAACACTTAAGTCCTGGCCCCCAAAGGGCCTGCACACCAAAACCCTTTACAACAACCGCTACATCTACACCACCTCATGCTGAGGCATGCATTCGATGGACGGAAGAACAATTGTAAAGCGCACTTGGTTGCATATAAGGATGAAAATTTAAAAAATGGCATGTCCTTTCAAATGAGCCAGAGATATTTATGTGGTTACATCACAACAATAAATAAAAACATGGGGCTTCACTTCAAAATCATAAAGACACTAACAAAGGCAATGAGTTGTAAATACACCCCAAAAAATTGTGGACAAACATAAGATGTGAATTAGTGAGTTGAAACATCAACTTGGCAAGAGATCCTTCCCTTTTTTTTCTCTCATTAAAGGTTCTAAATCTTTTAATTCACTTAAGTTTCCATGCTACCACAGCTTAGACAAAATCACTTTACTAAGCAAAAAATACAGTATTTTCAACATAACATACACTTAAAACAACCAGTGCAACATAGAACAATGGCTCACCTGTTGTTGCCAGCTGAAACTCTTTCACTAGCTCTGTGTTTGTGAAAAAGTCATTTTCTTTGAAAATGAAGGTCAGCTTATAGCCTGACTTGATATCTGCAAACTCTTCCACATCAACCTACAAATAAAGAGCAAAAAACAAAAGAATACAATATCTGATAACTGCACTGATAAATTTAATGAAACCATTACATATATATTAGTCCAGAAAATTAAAAAGAATCGAAATGGAAAAGTGGTATGTTTTTTTTTAAATTTTCCATTGGAAATCAGGAATCAATGTGTCTTGAATAACAGGTTACACTATCTCATTATCATTATTACATTCACTTTTATCCGTTTTGCGGTGAGTAGAAAGGATTTTTTTAAAAATAGGCCTATGCATTCACATGGTATAGAAGTCAGGTCCCTTGACCAGTTTAGCACTGTACTAACTTTGAATAATTAGTTAAAATAGGCAGTGTCAATTGACACAGAGTAAAGTAGTACTCTTTTGCCCTGGAAAGCATGTTTTCCGCTTATACAAACTTATGCATTTGAAATAATTTTATTGTTATTGGTGCTACGAATTTTAGATCTATGTCTTGTCCATTCTGTATGCACTCTGAAATGAGGGTTTCTTGTGATGGGCACTTTTTATGAAAATAGATGTGTAGTAAAGCATCCGTTTACTTTAGTGGTAGTAGTACCGTTTTTTATCTGTTTATGCAATGAAGCAGAACATTTACTCCATTTTTCAGCTCCAAACTCGAGTAGCTTAGGCCTAACACTTATTGTCTATCTCATTATTCTTAAGAGGCTTAACATACACATTTGTTTGAAGCAAAAGAACCCCCAGTGGGTCGGGGGATATAAATAGACCCACTGCTTCGTCTGCAGAAGGTGCAACCCCTTCAAAGGCGAGGTGTCGCACACGGACCCCAATCCTCTGAGATCCGGATGCGACACCTACTTTGGTGTATCTTCCTGTTCTCCTTCCTTCTTTCTTTCTTCCTCTATCTTTCCTACCACCGCTGACCTCATGTGCAGCAAAAAGAGAGGTCACCCATCCCACAGAGTGGGCGCCTCGTTGACCTTGAGGTGGGACCCGTGCGGAGGGAAACCGGGTACCTGGCGGTTGAGGTGAGATCAGTCCATGGACTGTCCCTCGCCAACACACCTCTTTGGCCCAGGTTTTTCTCTTAGACGGGAGGGTGGCATGGCCCATGCCACTCAGTCGGTTGAGAGCTGAAACCCCATCAAGCCCTGGGTCAATCTTGACGGGAGGGTCTTGTACTTTCTCGTTGAGAGTATAGCTCCGGGGTAGCCCTGGCACAGCTCTGGTCATCCGAGCTATGTGTCCCCTTGTTGGGCTCCGTGGCGGGCGGGGACCCCGGAGTCGAACCAAATAGAAAACTCTTATGGATTCTAAAAACCCTAAAGACCCTTCCCCAGCTCCCAACTTAAAGAAGTCTCGGCTCGTGGAAGCGGGTGCGGCCGCCGAGCAGAGCAAAACCTCAAAAAATGGTAAAAGGACCTTTACCGATGCCTCTTTCCTCCCAAGGAGCTTCTGAGGCAACCGTACGTGGCCATCTCCAGTACAAAAGACGCACAGAGAAGAATTACCGATCTCAACCTCTTTAAGACAGGAGATGCACTAGGAAAGTTCTGGGATACATTCCCACATGTGTACAGAAACTTTCCTGTGGTGCACTCCTTGTCAAGTGCGCAACCGAGAACGAAGTGACCAAACTCCTGGATACCACGACCTTCGGTGGTATTCAATGTAAGCCAGAGCACTACCAAAAATTTAACCGCTCGAAGGGCGTGGTCCGCAGCCATGAGCTGAAAGGCTGCTCCATGGAAGAGATTGTGGAGCACTGTAAGGGAGTGGTCGAAGCCCGCCGGATTACTCTTCGGCGGGGGGAGACAACTATCGAGACGAACACGATTGTCCTCACTTTCGAATCGTGTCGCCCTCCAGCCACCGTTCAGGTATCTTACTTGGTACTCGACGTACGACCCTATGTGCCGAACCCTCTGCGCTGTTTCAAGTGTCAGAAGTTCGGCCATAGCCAGTCACGGTGCCGTCACTCAGCCATGTGTCCTCGTTGTGGCAAGACCGAGCATCCTGAGAAGGAATGCAAGGCTAGTCCTTGTTGCCCCAATTGCCACGGCCAGCACACAGCTTTCAGCAAGGAGTGCCCGACTTGGCTCCAAGAACGCGCCATCCAGGAATACAAGGCGCGAAATGGCTGCTCCTTCCAGGAGGCCTGCAAGGTTGTCTGCCCGCCAATAACAACCCCAGTCATTGGCCGGTCGTATGCAAAGGCAGCCCAGGAGGTCAAGAGGTTGGCAAGTAATTCTACTGCTGACCCCCCAAAGCCCGCGGTCAACAGGCAAGTCTCTGTGCCTAAGATTACTAAGAACAAAAAGCCCGCTACTATCCCTGTGGCAACCCCCTTTGAGGTGCCACTCTCTAACAGCTATGAGGTTCTAGGGGAGGGCTCTTCCTCCGCCCCCTCTTCTCCCCATCACCCCTCTTCTATCATTTCTTCTTCTTCTCCTTCTTCTTCCACCTCACAGCCCATCCCTCTGATGGAGTGTGAGGTGGGCCTTCTCCCCTCCCCCCAGCCCCCTCGGTCTGCTCCACCTCCCCCTACCCCTCCAGCAGACAAACCCCTGCCTATGGAGGAAGACAGCTCCGACCCCCCTCCCCGGCCTGACCCCGGGAAGGGCGGAGTCTGTCACTCCTCCAAATCCCCCACTAGACCGCCGTCCAATCTAGGACAGCAAACTAGAAAACACTCTGCCTCCCCCGCAAGGCGGAGTCAGAGTGTTTCTTCGAAGCCGGGGCCTTTGTGTTGTGCTCCAAATAAAAAAGGAAAAATTCATAATGGCGGTCCTGCAATGGAATGCCGGCGGAATCCGACCTTCCATTGCAGAATTGCAACATTTACAGGCCACACTGTGCCCACGGGTGGCCTTTATTCAAGAAACAAAATTCGCCCCGGCTTCAACCATAGACTTAAGAGGATTTACTGCGTACCATCACATTCACACGGAGAACCAGATTGCATCCGGTGGTACCACCATCTACACCGACAACCACACACTCCACAGACTAGTACATCTTAAGACGACCCTCCAGGCTATTGCCGTACGGGTCACCCTGCACAGACCAATCACGATCTGCTCAGTTTACATCCCACCAAATTACCCCCTCAAAATAACCCAACTAAATGACTTAAAGGCTCAGCTCCCAAAACCCTTTATTTTACTAGGTGATTTCAATGCCCACAGCCCCCTTTGGGGAGACAAACCTATAGACCAGAAAGGAAAAATAATAGAAAACTTTTTATTTCAAAATAACATCTGTCTCTTAAATGATAAATCCCCAACTTACAGAAACAGAGCCACTTATGGCACTTCAACCCTTGACCTCACTTTTTGTACCCCTGACCTAGTCCCAGATCTTGAGTGGTCTGTGCTGGACCATTTCCCAATTCTCCTAAAAAACAATAGCCTCCAAAACGACCCGATCCCAGAACGCTTCAACTTAAAAAAAAAGCAGACTGGGACGGATTTACCAATTTCGACCACAACTACAATAAATTTCACGAAAAGCTTTTAGAAATATGCCACAAACACATACCAAAAACAAAACCCCGGAGGAACAAGATCTGGTTCTCTTGGGAATGTGAGGATGCAGTAAAGAAAAAGAAGGCAGCGTATCGAAAAGCCATCAACAACAGCACCATAGAAAACAAGATAAATTATTTAAAGGCTCGAGCTGTGGCACGTAGATGCCTCAGGGAGAGCAAAAGACAATCATTCAAAAAATACATCTCCAAAATCAACAGCCAGACACCACTCAACCAAGTTTTCAAAATTGCTAAAAAATTCTTAGGTAGACGCACAGACACCATGATGCGACACAGATTTTACCATTAGACACATTTTAACAGAATATCTAGACTTTGGAGAGATCCGAAGGAAATATTATAAATGCAAGAAATTGCAGGATATTTTTTCCGTCGTTGTTCCCAGCAGAATTTTAAATTTTATAAAGGCCATTGGCCTTTATGGCGAGTTGTAGAGTGAATTTGATATTATTAAAAATTTTTATTGTTACTTAAAAGTTGTTTTAGATCACAAATGTATTTACACCGAATTTGAATATTTTAACTTTTTAGCATTTTAAAGTAAATTAGTTAGCCAGCCGTGAAATGAACTTTCGCAGAGGTGAACAACTTGTGTTTCGCGCGCTCATATGACCGTAGCAGTTGCGAGCGCCGTAAAACCTTATACTATACTACAACATGAATTCAGGATTTGTTTTTATTCACAACTCAGTGTTGCCACCTAGAGTAAGATTCTTGTGTGATATCTCAAGAGGCCCTATCTAGTATCTGGTCCCATTTCACTTTGATTACCCTGTCAAGCAAGTCAACCTTCCCCCCTAAGAGTGAACATTTAATTTTGACATGAATTAAGGTTGTAGGCTTACTACACACTTTGTAATTGATTCAGGTTGAGTTAGTTATTGACTGAGTATTTGTCACCAAGTAACTCTGTAAATGACGCAGTCTAGTGAGTCTTTACCAGATACAGAATGAGTTTTTTAGCAGTTTGCTTGTAGGTCTATAATAAAGTGAGCTGCTACAAACAATTCAAGGTCATTTTAGCTTGTTAAATTCATCCTACAGAGATGTTAGTGCTTTCTCTCTTTCAAGAAGCCATGAAACACATACTATACATATACATATGTGTGTTTGAGATTGCCTCTGGTCCATTTTTTTTGTGCTTCTCTCTCTACAGTACATCTCTTCAACTCCCCCCCCCAAAAAAAAAATAAAGAAATAAAAACCCCAACAGCAACAAAACAAAACACATCAACATTAAAACATTTTCTACACATACAAAGTCAATTATACTTTTTTTTTAAAGTAGAGGTTTTACGGCACTCGCAACTGCATAAAAGGTCATATGAGAGCCAGAAGATTAGAGGCGTTACAAGAGAGTAACAAACATAAAAAAGAAGAAGGGGAGAGAAGGATGTCAGACGTTTGATAGAAAAGAAGGAGCAAACCACACCAGAGCACCCACCAACCACCCACAATTATACTTTGCACAACCCCCAACCTCCATTTTGAAGCATAGTGTCCATAAAAATTGAGTTAAAAAGCATTCTACCTCTTTCCCTTCAAAGTGTATGTTAAAATAGACAAAGAGGCCTATGCTACCGGAGTGGAGGGCTGAAGAATGTGGTAAACGTGAAGCGTGCTGACAAAATGAGTTACTTCTCGGTTTCAAGCCTTATGGAAATAGATACATTAGGTGAAGTTTCTACAATTTTTATAAGTATGACATAATGAAAGGCACGTTATACATAAAGAATATATATGGCATCAATAGAAAATCTATTACTCTGACCCTAATGACGATTTTTGGCCTATATCTCCATTTGTGGGTTGCGAGAAGTTACTCGTTTTGTCAGCATGCCTCACAAATGTTCTGTTTCAACGCATAAACATCAGATAAAAAACGGTACTACCGCCACTGCAATAAACTGATGCTTTACTGCACATCTATTTTCATAAAAAGTGCCCATCATGAGAAACCCTCATTTCAGAGTGTATACACAATGGACAAGACAGATCTAAAACTAGTAGCACCAATAACAAATACGGAGTGTCTACGTACACGGTAACCGGGCATGTAGTCTCAGTGTCACCAGAGACAATATAATTAAATACTCTCTGGTGTCACGTACACGGTAACCGGGCAGTTCAGAACCCCAAGTTTCTGGGCAGTTCAGAACCCCAAGTTTCTGTCATCCGGTGTTGCCTTCATCCCCACCCCTCCCCCGACTGTATCTTTTTAAAAAATCAATAATCTCTCCCCCCCCCCTTCCGAAGCCCTATTACACTTCTCAGCGCACAGACTTTGAATGAACTTTTGTGACCCCAACCGGTACTCACAATGTGATGCAAACGCACAGGTTCACTGACCTGTCACGATGGCGAGCCCAACAAGACGCTTGTATGACTCTTTTTTTTTCAGCAAGTGACAGCACAGGACAAATATTGATTTATTTTCATTACGGTTACCGTGTACGTAGATACTGAGACTAGGTGCCCGGTTACCGTGTACGTAGATACAAAGACTAGGTGAGACTAGGTGCCCGGTTACCGTGTACGTAGACACTCTGTAACAAATATTTCAAATACCAAAGTCTGTAAGCAAAAACGTGCTTTCCCAGCCCAAACGAGTTCTACTTTCACTCCATTGACACAAAGTGGCTGAAAGCTACTCTGTGTCAATTGATACTACCTTTAAAATATTACACAAATATGCACAAAAATCGCACACCATGCTTAGAAAAATTACTCACATTGGACAAACACTGAAGACATTCCTCTTCCTCTTCATCTAATATAGAAGAAATCTGTGGGTGATTGACAAACTAGCCCAGAGTTAAGGAAAGCAAATTGATGAATATTGCACTGAGGAGGAAAATAAGAGAGAAAAACACTGAGTTTCGTGCTAGACCTAAGAAATAAAAATGTTGTAACACTCCCCCCACCCCCCTGAGTTAAGGGGACACACTACCGGAAAAATTTCCTAAACGAAAGACTTTTATCCACTTTCATATAATTGTGCAAGGAGTTCATAGGTAAACAGGACGTACTAAAGGTGAATTTGTTGATTTTTTCTGAAAAATCGGCCTCTGTGGTGGCCATCTTGGATTTTCAAACCAGTTTCTTAGTGCAGAAGAATTTCAAAGTAAATATTGAATTATCAGCCTGAAATTTGGCACACACATACAAACCTGTATGGACTGGGGATCCATGTGAGGATTTTGACCTATCTTTAAAATGAAAAAAGTGAGCCCTAAGTCAATGGACCCCCGAGAGCCAGTTGACGAAATTTTGGGGTACATATTACAAACAATTTTGAAAATTTCCACACAAGTTACCAATATTTCCAAATCCCCTCACACAGATCCCCAGAATAGATCTTAAAGCATATGAACGCCAAATTTGAAGCTTTCAGCTTCAGTTATTAAGAAAAACAGAAAAAACAGGGATTTTTAAAAGGATTTGTAATGCAATTTGCACTTTTCAAACGCCCTTTTAGGTCATTTAGGGTTTTTTCAACAGTTTTGTCATTGTGACCCAATAGAACAGATGTCAAAGGAAGTTTTTAAACAAAAAAAAACGAAAGTTGGATAGTGTGAAAAATTTTATCAATATGGTCTGGGATCGCTGACCCGGGTCTTCCCTAAGTGGGCAATTTCGTTAAATTCATTTTCATGGTGTTTTCTCGACCATCTGGCTCTTTCCCAGTAGAGTGGGAACCCTTGCTTACTGCTGGGACAGACTTCATTGGGAATGATCATCCGGCACAGACCCTTGTGAAATACGTTAAATGTATTTAAGCTTAAACTTGACAGAAAAGGGCTCTCATGGTCTAGAGGTACATTTTGTGCTTTTTATATATATTATTCATTCCCAACCACAGGCGGTAAGCCACCAAGGGCCTAGGTGATTTTATCGGCCAGCAAGAGGTCAGGGGGGAGTCCTCACCTCATGCACACACTGGGGTGGGAGCTATTCTCACCAGGAGGGGAGAGGGGGTGAGAATAGCGATACATGAGTTATTCTCACCTGAGAATAAAGTTGGCCCCAGCACAAACCTTTTAAGTGACAAAATTTTTTGAATTTACTTTTTTGGCTTATAAGATTATTCTCTATGCAACATACAGTATGTCCATAATTTGACACGAGTGAAAAATAAGGATATTAAAATACAAATTAAAAAAACCTATCTCCAATTGCATGAAAGCCGTTGGGCATAAAACTAGTAAACGTCAGCGTGGCACTTTGAAGTTAGATCTGTGCCCGGTGGCCTTGCCTGCTCAGCCGTCGCACCACATCGCTTACGTTGGGTAAACAGTAGGCCTAACAATAGTTGTAATGACCGACGATCCATCTTGCGCAACCGTATTGCGTCTGGTTTTTGTTGTTGTTTTGTTTTGTTTGTTGGGGTTTTTTTTTGTTTGCATATATGGGCAATTCTGAAAACTTGAACTTGCACATACTCTTTACTATACACACCATAAAGAGCTATATTTATTTCAAATAATAGTTAAGATGAGCTAAACAGGTGGTGAAAAGGTTGCCGAACAAGGACTAGGCAGAAAATATCCAATAAAACGATATGCTGAAACAGTGTGAGGCTTTTTTGTTAAAAATTCACTTTTTTAGGTATAAAAACGTAATATTCACCAGAGAGAGTTTTCATCCTAAGATTTCTCTAAGAATTGTCAGCATCTCATTTTCGTAAATGATAAGGGTTTAATACTGATCTTAAGTAGAACTTTCAGGGTGACCGACAAATATATGCTTATAACGGCCCATTTCTTCATACAAAGGACATAAAATTCTATCTTAAACGCTATATGTCTCCTCCGTAAAATGGTAAAAAACAGTAACTTTTAACCCTATCTTCAGTTCAATCGATCTTTTCAAAAGTGTAATTTTTCACAGTAGAATTAGAGATACGATCACTTTAGTTAGTCATTTCATCAACAAAATTGCTACAGCGATTACGAATTTTTGGCGGTAAATAGTTGCGTCTGTGAATTTTTGTCACGTTGTAACGATTAAGATCTGTGTGTTTACTTCCGCCGAAAGTTGCTCGAAATTTTACAGCGGTGTTTTTATGTCAAGTGCACTGGTTTCCAATCAACTTGGCTTTCATCTATTCCCCGGCAAGACAAACGGGTCTATAGAAAGTGAATATGAATGACTTCGTCACGCAATGTTAGCAGTTTAACGATTAAGATGTAAGTAAAGCTTTGAATTGCCTTAAAATTTGCTATCTTTGTTATTTGACTGCAAAATGTGTGATTGATTGATGAAATCAAAGAGTCCCTCAAGGGAACGGATGAGTTTGGACCCATGCCAAAACAAGAATTGATGGTTTTCATACTGTTTGTTGTTTCGAAACAGAAATTGGACAAAGTGTTTGATTTCGTCCTTTAATGATTTAGACATGGTCTTTGTGTTTTATCTTTATAGAATGAGTAGCTTTTTAAGAATTTTATTTTAAGGCTTTCAGGCGTTGATGCCACATATTTCTAGAATTGGGGTTGGCAGTTGAGGCAATTGAAGTTGACAACTTGTTATCGTTGTCTGAAACATTACAAATACAAGGCTAAGCCTGCTTGGGTCGGTGTATCGGATATAATATTTAAAATCGAACATCAGTAATTAAACTTTGCAAATAGACTCTTTCAAGGAAATACAAAGTATATTTTGGGTACTGTCCCACTGTAGGCTTGGTGGTGCAAGGCGAGGCGCAAACACCGGGAACAAGGCGAAGAGGGCGATGCAAGCGATGCGACGTTGTATGGGATTTTCAATGTCAATTTTAGTTTCAGTTCAAAATGAACAGAAAAAGATTGGCGCCGTTTCTCCTGATCAACGAGGTAATTACAAAGGGAAAAGAAAGAAAGGAGTAGGCGAACCCGATTAATTAAATGCGTCATTAGTTTGGTGAAGTTCACCACTTGAAGAGAAATTTACCGGACGACGAAAGCAGAGGTGCAGATTCAATTTGAATGAGTAGTGATTCCTCTTTCTATCTGCATGAAATAACTTCAGATATCCTATCTCGACAATTGAGAAAGAAATAATTTTTATAATGTCTTTCTTTGAATAAAAGTAAATGCATTGTAGTGTGCTTTTGCTTTTATTTTTCATTTTTGTTTTGACAAAGTTTTCACTAACTCTCCTCGTTTTCCTTTCTTGTACAAACAGTTTTCACCAACTCTCCTTGTTTTCCTTTCTTGTTATCTTCACTGAAATTATGTAGATCTACTAGTGTCAAACATGCTGTTAATAATGTGCTCGTGTGCACGCATGTACATTTCAAGCGATGAAAGCGATTGTACATCGACCGAAATTTCTCCTGGCATCTCCTCACTTCGTGCTGTTCTTGGTTTGGCTAGTAAAGTAGTCTTTCCCTTGGTTTTATTTTGATTTCGCCGCCCGTGCTGCTTCTCAGTGTAGCTTTGCCCTTAGTTTTCATCAAAATTTAATATTGCCTTTAACGAGAGGAAAGTAGGTTTATACATTGGTCTTAATGGTTACACGGACTAAATGATTTTGACCAAAGTTTTGGTAACAAGTGTTGTCCCAATAATATTTAGGACCTAGTAGCTGATTTTATCGTCTAGGACTATGATAAGACAAGTAAGACCACATAAGTGAAGAATGACATCGTTTTATGTTTATATTCACTTTATTCTTATACATTCCAAAACAAAATTTGTGACTGCTTTTTCTGTTGCCAATTACTTTAAATTTAAAAAATACAAAAAAGTAATGCAGCATAATCTTATTTTCGACCAAGTATAGCGTGCACTGCGCTAGAGATCTCTGAATGCATTGCTTAAGTACCGATATTCTGAAAAGAAATACCCAGAGTTTATTACAATAAAGTTTAACACTGAGCCTACTAAGTAATACCTCGACCGAAAGACCTGACACCGCTTTACTCTGTGTAAATTGACACCAGCGTCAAATCAATTACCACCGCTTCACTTGGTGGCAATTGACGCTACCTTTTTTTTTACATGAAGGATTTTAGTTTTTGCTGGGTGACTAAATGCAAAATAGTATAGGTTACTGCCAAGGTCAAGCAGTCTTGTTTTCTCGCAGTACCCAGAGATGCCAACCACAGAAAACCGAAATGAGTATTGGGAAATATGAAAATGTGTATTTTCAGGTGAAAATGTGTATTCCCCACGACCGACCGACCAACCAGTAATAGTAAAATGTTCAGGGTGTCCAGCAATATTTCCCGAAAAAAAATTACTAGCTCACCAGCTTGAAAAAGGGAGCACACACGCGTACAATATACATGTATCCAGTCAACAACATGTCAGTGTTCAATGTCGTACTGGGGTCTTGTTTGTTGACTTAAGTATTTCAGTCTATTAAATAATATTTTCCTCTCATATATAAAAAATAAATCCTGCTTTGAGAGTTCGGAAGGGCCTAGAACAAGAATTTCGACTATCAAGAACCAGTCTTGGTGTCATGATTCATATTATGAACTGACCGACTCAAATTATTGCTCAAACTCAGAGAAAAGCAATAACTTGAATGGCTCAAGTAGACCCATGCACTGTGAGAGTTG